TGAATTTAAAATCTGAATTGACAATAGGAGTATCTGTTTCAATGGCGAAGCCAAAGCTGAGCAAAGTATTTTCATCATCAGAAATTAGAAAAAAAAAAAAAAAAAAGCTAATAGGAAGCAGTGTGTATCTTAATGTGTGTCTCAAAAATACTTTAGATAGTATCTTAATGGGAACAGATTCTTTCCCTGTGCTTTCTTCATCTATATCTTAATTCAACAAATATCAACACAAAAATTAAATAAAATTTTCAGTGTCTAGAAAATTTGGCATGAAAAAGATCAAGATTATTGGGTAATATACTTAATGTTACATAGTGTTTTAAAATTTTATTTTAGAATGACTATTTAAATATTAAGTATTTCTGATGTTATCTTTGAATTTTTAAATAGATTTTAATTTGACATGTATTTTGTGATATTGCTCTCCTTTTGACTAATTATCAAATATCTCGGGTTAAGATCTTTTTTTATGTAGAATTGAAATATATAATTTGTAATAATAATTGGTTCAAATAACAATAAGCCATGTATGCATTATTATTTTTTTCTTACAGGATACTTCTGGAACTTTTATTTGAGAAATGACTGACTGTTTATTATTATGGCCACTTATTATTCCAAAGTACATAAATCATATGAAAGTATAGAATAATTCATGACTGAGGAATTCCTGTCTCTCAACCTCAGATCCTAAGTATTAAAATCTGTTGGGGATTTGGAGACATCCAACATTTTCCCAATTTCTTGACTGATTTTTCCTATGATTCAGAAAATTATGGAAGTTTCCCAAGTGATGCTGGGATGGAATTCCTACAGGGAAGCTTTACCAGGCACTATACTGTGCCTGTTGCATGCATTACCTCATTTCGTCCTCACAGCAACCCGCAATATGGAGGTTAGGTTGGTAGCTCTGTGTCACACATGAGGAAACCAGCTGGTCGGTGGTAGGGAAGATCCCTGTGTTTTCCAAACTGTGGTTCCACACAGTTGAACTTCACCTATTCTTAAAAGAAAGAAGACCATAAGAACATTTGTTTTCTAACTTCAGTTCAACAAATTACTTCTGTACCAGAGCAGGCCAAGTGAGGTGACAGACTGAGTTGAAGAATTAGTCCTTTTCACTTGAGAAAGAGCCCTGTGCTTGTGGCTGGAAGCAGCCCCCTGCTTGCTAAGGAGGGGCTCCTGTCTGCTCTTTGCCTTGACTACACAAAGCTTCTGGCTAATCCTCTCTTATCAATGTGCCTCCTTCCCTGCTTACATTCTGAGTTAGCTCTAGCATGCCCTGTCAGCCTCCGTTAGGAAGCATTAGTTCTATCAGTCTGCATGCGCTATCCCTGTTGATGGAGATAAGAGGAAGAACAGTGACTTCACCTTCTAAAAATAACCTTTTAAAGCAAGAATCTTTATTTTACCTCTTTCCACATGCCGTAATGCTGCTTCATTCAGCTGTTAAAAGTCTCCCCGATGATCTCTATGAAAATGTTGACAACATTACTGGTTTGGTGTGAGCTGATCAAATTCCTAGAACTTCAGGGCTTAGGAAAACGGCAGCACAGTGTTTGGAATTGCAGGGCTAGTTGCCCAGAGATTATGGTTTTCTTGCCTGGTGACATCTGGTAATGTATTGAAGATGGAGTGGGGCAGATGGCTTAGTTTAACAGCCGCAGTATAACATTGCATGGTGAGGAAATACCCTGCGGATGCACCCTATAGAATATTGTGGTTTAAAAAACCAAGCGTATGTATGGTGCCTATGAGCTTTGGATATGGAGAGACCTGATTTTACAGATTGTTACTGCCTCTGTACTGTGTGATCCTGAACAAATTGTGTAGCTTCTCTGAACTTTTTCATCTTTGAAAAGTAAGGAATATAAAACCTAGAATTTTTTTTGTTTGTTTGTTTTTATTTGAATTCCAGTATAGTTAACATCCAGTGTTATATGCGTTTCAGGTGTATAATACAGTGATTCCACCATTCCATACATCACCCAGTGCTCACCATGTTAAGTGTGCTCTTTAATTCCCTTCACCTGTTTCACCCATCCCCCACCCACTTCCCGTCTGGTGACCCTCAGTTTGTTCTCCGTATAAAACCTAGGATTTTGACGATTAGATGATACAGATGTAAAACTCTTAGTACAGCACATATGCTACACAGCAGACACTGAAGAGTTTCCGAGGATGATGATGCAGTGATGAACAAGACAAACCCAGCCACCCCCCCCCACCTTTGTTAGAGAGAGCAAGCAGGGAAGAGGCAGAAGGAAAGAATCTCGAGCAGATTCCTTGCTGAGCCCAGAGCCTAACATGAAGCTTAATCCCACCACCCTGAGATCATGACCTGAGCTGAAACCAAGAGTTGAAGGCTCAACTGACTGAGCCACCCAGGCACACCACCCCCAGCCCCCACTTCTTTTAATGAGACAAGTAGGCAGGAAATGACATCAAATGGGGCTAAGTGCCTGCACAAGAGAACACATGGTGCTGAAGAGCACACAGGAGGGGCACTTCTTGAAGGCCTGGGAAGAGAGCAAGATGCAAACACAGGAGAAAATGGCTTCCTCCCAGACTGGCCCAGCTCCTGAGTGAGTTCACTGAAAGGCTCGCACACATTAGTAGCCCTCGGAGTTGTTTGTCAAGGAAAAGGAAATAATACAAATGTGCAAACGAAGTAACCACCAAATATATTGACTTTGTCCAGTACAATTCAAATGTCTAAATTCTTTGAGCATCGTGCTCTGAATAAGTAAGCTACCCTTCTAATGTGGATTTGACCCTTTAAATGTTCCCATTGGGGGCGCCTGGGTGACTCAGCCTGTTAAGCCTCTGCCTTCGGCTCAGGTCATGATCCTGGGGTCCTGGGATTGAGCCCCACGTTGGGCTCCCTGCTCCATGGGAAGCCTACTTCTCCTTCTTTCTCTGCCTCTCTCCCTCTCATGTCTCCCTCTCTCTGTCTCTCATGAATAAATAAGTAAAATCTTTAAAAAGAAAAAAAATGTTCAGATTAAAAAAACAAAAGCAAGGGGCGCCTGGGTGGCTCAGTGGGTTAAGCTTCTGCCTTCGGCTCAGGTCATGATCTCAGGGTCCTGGGATCGAGTCCTGCGTCGGGCTCTCTGCTCAGCAGGGAGCCTGCCTCTCTGCCTACTTGTGATCTCTGACTGTCAAATAAATAAATAAAAATTTTAAAAAAATAAAAAATAAAAAAAAGCAAAAGCAAGAAAAAAAGTCCTTTCTTTAGCTTGTTTATTTAAGTTCTTTCCGAAAGGTACTCACTCTGTATTTATTTCTTAAATGACTGACCCAATAAATGCATGCAGTGCTGTGGTTAGGTTTGCTTTTGCTGACCCGTGTTCTCTGCTTCTGCCTTTGCTCTAGATAGAAATGAAGACTGCCAGCAGAAACAAGATAATGTTAGTTTCATGTAAAAATAGCCCAGGGTAGGGGGAGCTCCAGGTGTTGCCCTAGGAACACATGGACTTGGTGCCAGAAATGTGCCATCAGGACATTTTCTACTTCTAAATTTGCAGCTATTCTGAGTGGTTGAGATGATTGGATGTGTTATATTCTGCCTAAGGGAGGCAGGGAAACCTAGAGCTTAGATGTAAGACATCCCCCCCCATCTAATTCCAATTTTGTGTGTCTAGTTGTATAACTGTATTACTCAGAGCCACAGTCTCCTTACCTGTTTAGTGAGATGAGTAAAAATACCTCATAGCATCATCATAAAGATTAAGATAATACTATAAAAGGGGCGCCTGGGTGGCTCAGTGGGTTAAGCCGCTGCCTTCGGCTCAGGTCATGATCTCAGGGTCCTGGGATCGAGTCCCGCATCGGGCTCTCTGCTCAGCAGGGAGCCTGCTTCCCTCTCTCTCTCTCTCTGCCTGCCTCTCTGCCTACTTGTGATCTCTGTCTGTCAAATAAATAAATAAAATCTTAAAAAAAAAAAAAAGATAATACTATAAAAGCTTAACCAATGCTTGGCACATAGTAATAGCAACTACTAATCTTAGTTTTTTTATTATTACTGTAATCTGCATTTTATTTACAAGGAATAAATAATCTATGCTAATGTTGATGAATTAATAAAATATGAACAACTGAAACATTTCTGGATAATGTCAATGTGGGGGACTTGAACATGGCACTGCTCATCTCCTGCTGTGGGGATTACCATCGACAGCCAGCCCCAGCTGCTCCCTCTAGACTCTGCCACTGCTTTGCACCCAGACCAGGTTTCGCCGAGGCTGCCCTCAACCAAGGAATGGGCACAGTCGGCCTTCGAATGCAGTCCTCCAGTGGGTAGGACTCCTTTAACAGGTGACTTTAGTGCAGGGCCTCCCCCGCAGCCTGATGGAGACTTCCCTAACCTGAGGCCTCAATCAGAGATGACCCCTGCCTGGCCCTCCTTCCTTATCTCTCCCCTTCACAGGGTCCAGACCTGCACTGCCTTCGGAGGCACTCCCACCCTCCCCACCTCTCCATTTCCTGAACTGGTATTTCTTCCACTAAACCTTTGGCTTATCTTGGTGTCAGCTTCGTGGAGCATCTGGACTTACAGTTACAATAGTTGTTGGAAGTAACAATCAACACCCTTGAGCACAGAGTGGACGTTTTCACCATCAAGTATAAAGTGAACGTTAATGAGTTGTTTCATCTTGATGGCATCACATTTCCTCAGAACTGAAGTTTGATGTTACTGATCATAATTTCTCTAGCACAGACCTTAGCCATTGCTTCCTCAGGGGAGGGCTACTCACAATTAGGACCTCAGACTAACGGCAGATTAGGTTGTAAGATTGCACTTAGGACAGCCCTCCCTCCATGTCTCTGGGTCTTCAATGTGATGTGATTTTAGTGTTTTCATGAACCAAGAAAATCTCTTCGGCAAAGGCTATGGAGGGCTCTTTAGTGTTTATTTTTGTAGTTTCCTACTGATTTCTTCTGTTTTCTTGTTTTTTTTTCCCCCCTAACTCCTCACTTGATTATGTTTTTTGTGACAGACCAGGTCCAGGGAACAGTCACCATTCGGAACATCAGTGCTCTGTCTTCAGGCCTGTACCAGTGCGTGGCTTCAAATGCCATCGGAACCAGCACCTGTCTGTTAGATCTCCAGGTTATTTCACGTAAGTATATAAAACTCTGACGTTGACTCTGAGTCTGGAACACCAAGATCTTTGTTAAACCAGGGAATGAAGAGTTTCTCTTAAGTTTTTTTAGGTTGTTTGAAGATTAAGTATAAATTTTCTTGGGTTTATTAGTTATTGAAATGTTTATAAATGTCTTAGTATACTTTTCAGCCTCAGCAATATGACATGTTTTTTATGACAGAATGTCTTTCTCCTCAGGATCAATAGAATCAAGTCAGTCGCTTGTCTTCAAGTGATTGCCTAGTCCTATTGACATTACAAAAACTTGTGATGATCTTATGGCCACGGCAAGACCTTCTATTATTTTCTCCTAATCCCTTTATATCTGCTTAATTGCTGGGTGGCCAGGTCATAAATAAGCAGTGCAGAAATTTTCCCTTTATTTGAGAGTTCTGGGTTATTTGAATTCCACTTACAAAAAGTAGTGACCCTGTTGGGTTGAGGTGGTTGTTATCACACTGATTGCCAGGGTTCCTCTGGGCCGATCACACAGGTAAGCATCTTTGGCCTGTTCTGCTCTAAGTGTTGTTCTACTGACATGGTGAGTCCTATAATGTTGATTCATTCAGCGAGTGTCTGTGAGCCTCCTATGTGTGAGTCCCAGCCACTGAGGACACAGAAAACTAACCGAGGTTTAATTTTATAAGGATGCAATACTTTGGGCAATTCTGTGCATTTTAAGAAGATTCTGTGGTAAACTTACATATTTATGAAGTTGCATGAGTGTATGCTATTTCTCTTTCTCTCTCTCTCTCTTTTTTTTGTTCTTTAAATCTACCTTAAATATATTTTGCAGCCCAGCCCAGGAGCATTGGACTAATAGCTGGAGCCATTGGCACTGGTGCAGTTATTATCATTTTTTGCATTGCACTAATTTTAGGGGCATTCTTTTACTGGAGAAGCAAAAATAAAGAGGAGGAGGAAGAAGAAATTCCTAATGAAATAAGGTTTGTGTGTCAGAAAATTCGTCCTACATGGCCAGTGTCTGTATTTCTATTAATTTTGGCAGCTAAGACTTCTTTGCTAATCCAATGGCTGTGATGGCCTAGACAGTTAAAGTGCCAAGTCATATTTTCTTGTACGTTATATCACTTTTACTCATTTACTGGATCATGAAAGAGGAAGAGGGTCGCATATGTGCCCAACTAGGAGGACACATGTGAAGAATTCCCTCACCTTCCATACTTCCAAGGTAGGTGGGGTTAAGGTGGCTGCCACAGAAGAAAAGTTAGTTTAGGAAATGTGTTTGACATTGGCATTTATACCAGAAGCTAGAAGGAACACCCCAAGAGCATACCAGTTCCTGTGCACACAGGCCAAAGCCATATGGCTTGGTGTGAGAGACAGTTCAGTCAAGGATATGAACATCTTCAGACAACAATGTGAAAATCATCTTTATTTTTTAAATTTTTTCATTATGTTCAGTTAGCCACTATATAGTACATCGTTAGTTTTTGATGTAGTGTTCAATTATTCATTAGTAACACCTTTAACACCCAGTGCTTATCACAGCATGAAAATCATCTTTAAAGAAAAGTGACTCTTGGCATGTTATAAGGATAGGGGAGTTCAAGCTCCCTCTCTATCCCTATCACATCGTACCACATAGTATCCTTGTTGAAAATGCTTTAATGACTCCAGTCTACTTAGCGTGATCCACACAGCCCTTCAGGACTGACTTTCCCCTGCTTCCCTAGTCCTCTGTCACTACTTCCATGGTCACTGGTGTTCCAGTCTGTTCTGCAGCCTCTTGTGCTTCAGGGTCTTTGCTCAAGCCTCCACCCTCTTCTGGCACCAAACTCCTTCCCTTTTCATCCATCTCTTTCATAAATTCTTGATCTGATTCAGGACCAGTCCAGGTATCACCTCCTCACAGAAGTTGACTCTAGTCCCTGTCCAGCCTTTCAGACTTGGAAATGTTCTTACATTGATTGGCACTCTTGTTTGGCCATAGGCTTCTGGGTTATAGGAGCTGTGTCTTTTTTTTTACATGAAACATCTAGTAGAGTGCCTGGTACTCAATAAATGTTGAATGAATTAACATCTTAAATTAGTGACTTATCTTAGCCTCTTGTAATTCTTTACACAACAAACTCAGTGGCTCTCTTCAAGGTCTATTTTTCTATTTAGAGCAAAAAAAATTATAAACATACATATATACATACCACACATATATATTCACACACATTTTTTTTTTCAGGTATGTTGGAAAGTATAGTCTGAGAGATTTGACATTACTTTTTCTACCCTTGGCTATTGAGAAGCTGAGGGAACATTTTTCTTGAGCATTGTCTCAGTGGGAATGAGTGCCAGAGCCGAGGACCCCGGGGCTGATGCGTTTGCTTTTTTTGTTTTTTTTTTTTTAAGATTTTTGTTTATTTATTTGACAGACAGAGATCACAAGCAGGCAGAGAGGCAGGCAGAGAGAGAAGAGGAAGCAGGCTCCCCGCCGAGCAGAGAGCCCGATGCGGGGCTTGATTCCAGGACCCGGGATCATGACCTGAGCCGAAGGCAGAGGCTTAACCCACTGAGCCACCCAGATGCCCCGCATTTGCTTTTTTGATAGTATGTTCTGTCCTGAGGATTTGTATCTCACAGACATATGGCCTTAGCAGAAGATGAAAGATTCCTGGGCTAGAGGGTAGGGTGACATTCAAGTTAATCCTGACAACAATTTTATTTCTATTCCTTTTCAGAGAGGATGATCTTCCACCTAAATGTTCTTCTTCTGCCAAAGCATTTCACACCGAGATATCCTCCTCAGAGAACAACACATTGACCTCTTCCAATACCTACAACAGTCGATACTGGAGCAACAATCCAAAAGTTCCCAGGAACACGGAGTCATTCAACCACTTCAGTGACTTGCGCCAGTCTTTCTCTCTCCACTCAGGCAATGCCAACATCCCATCCATATATGCTAATGGGACCCACCTGGGCCCAGCTCCACATAAGACTCTGGTAGTGACAGCCAACAGAGGGTCATCCCCGCAGGTCATGCCCAGGAGCAATGGCTCAGTCAGCAGGAAGCCTCGGCCTCAACACACACACTCGTACACTGTCAGCCAAGCAACACTAGAGCGAATTGGTGCGATCCCTGTCATGGTGCCAGCCCAGAGTCGGGCCGGCTCCCTGGTATAGTACCTGAGTGGATAGAGCGTTCAGAAAAGAATCAGTGGAGTACCCCATGCAGAGGGAGGGCGGGGTGAGCAAGTGCTGGGAAAGAAGTGCTTTCCTTATAAGGATACTAGTAAAAAAGCACAAAGGAAAAGGCAATGCTGTTTGTTACCTGGCCAGTGAAATTTGTGAAATGAACTGGAATTCTTCATCTTGAAGACTCGTTTCCCCACCACAGATGTTCCAGCATTCTATTCAAAAAACTGGTTCTCATAGATGTGCCCAGCCAAGGAAAAAGATACAAGAGCAGACTAGCACTTAAAACCCAAACTGCAGTCCAGATGGGCTTGTTCTTTAATTCATGCCTAACTTAATAATTTTTGAAGAGACTCAAGTGCCAGGTGAAGTTTAAATAATGAAATTATTTAAAAATATAATTATCTTTCAAAAAAATAATGAGCAACCCTGGGATCATCACGGTTCCCTTGTTATCTAGAGGACTTAGTGGCATGAATGGTTCATATCGGTCCCAAGAGGGCTGGCTCTTGTATCCTAGAATCAAAACTTTTTTACGCAAACAAAATTTGGTAAGAAATTGGGGAAAACAAAAGAAACTTCTCTGAGAAGCCCCTTCCTATTTATTTATTTATGTGTTCCTAAACCATGAATTTCATATTTGGAATATTGCTATATGACAGATTCTTGCCTGTCTGCATTTTTCTAGGGTCTGTTCTGGGTCCGTGACAATTATTGTTCATTATTTCCTGGAAAAATATTTTTTTAAAAGAAAACTCTTGTGGGTTTTTTGTTTTTTGTTTTTTTTTAAATACATGAATGGCATAGGGCTAGGAAAGAAAAGACTGTTACTAACAGCACATTTAGTGATCGTGTTTGTGGAGCCCTGTGGGAGGCCCATGCCCGGATAGAAAGAGCTGGGGTGTGTGGGCCGCAGGGGAGCAGGAAGGCAGGTGTGAGAGACAGGAGCCTTCCTGGCAGCCTCCAGGCACGGCTGGGCTGGCCGGGGCTCCCTGCCTATCACACCAGGTTACCTTTAATGAAGGCAGCACCTGATGCCTTTTGCACTGAGGGAGATGACTTCCTCTTTGTTTGACAAGTCGAGGTTGGTAGGTTGTTACAGGGAGGGCAGGAGTAGTTCTGTTGTTGTTTCCAAAATAATTCTTTTTGCAAAACAGATAAGAATAAGACAAAAGGGATGCCTTCAGGTATGCTCCTGGGAGGGTCTACCTTATGTTTGTCACAGCTCAGGGTTGCAGTTTTACCCAAATGCATTTTACACCACTGTAAAGAGACTCCTTCTGTGATTAATTACCTGGCTTGGCTGGCCTTGGAGTTCACCAGATAATTTACAAACTCCCCACTGTCGTGCTGTGTGGATCTGGGCATACTTGTATTGGGGACTATCTCGCCTTAATCACACTTTAAGCAGCACAGAAATGATTTCGCCCCAGAATCGTTCTCTGAATTATTTATGAGGCCAACCTCGTGGTTCGATAAGAGCATCATTTTTTTCCCCAATGTTGTCTCTCACTCCCTCTTCGCACCATGCCTTTTGCCCTCTTTTCCTGCAAGCATAGTCGTCACAGGGAGTGGCTTCCTGATTCTCAGACCGTTTGAATATGTGGAAACCAGCAGCTCTTGCTTTTACCGTGTTCGGGGAGGGCTAAGCTCAGAACCTAACCATTGCAGCCATTTCAATATTGATGAAATGCTGAATTTACGTTAGCATTACTTATTTTTTCCATGTGATTGTTCTTGACTTTGTAAAAATTTAAATAAATGAATGTCTATACTTTTTATAAAGAAGAGTGAAAATACCATGACAGAAAAGATACTATCAGATGTTGTTTAGAAAGCATTTATCTTGCATTTCTTTATTCTTTCTAATTATCTAAAATTCAATAAAAGTTTATTCATATAAAAACAATTTGTCATTACTTATCATATATTAATGAATTTATGAGTTTATATTTTGTGTTCTTTTTAATGTTATAAGAATTTTCCATTCTGTTAAATAGTATACATAATAATTTTAATGAGCAAATAGTACTCTAGAAATTACTTTATCTTCTTACTAGAAATTTGAGTCCAGTTCTCATGTGTATGACTGAAGTTGTAATGACCTTTTCATACCTTGAATGATTTTCCTCTTTCCATGTCTGAAGTTCATGAGACCAGGTCCATGACCGCTTTTTTCCCCACTCTGAATCCCTCACCTAGCACAGTGCCTAATACAGGTACTGAGTAGGTGAATGACTGATGACTTCTAAACTGAAGTTGCCAAGTTCCAGCAGGGAAAGTTATGATCATGATTGTAGCTCTTGGTATATACTGGATCATTCCTTTGTTTTAGCTTTTCTTTTCTTTTCTTTTTTTTTTTTTTTAAGAGAGAGTGTGTGCGCACATACGTGGGAGGGGCAGGGGTAGAAGACGGAGAGAGAGAATCCCCACACAGGGCTCAATCCCACAACCCTGAGATCATGACCTGAGCTGAAATCAAGTCGGACCTCTCATCAACAAGCCATCCAGGTGTCCTGTTTTAACTTTTTTTTTTTTTTTTAAGATTTTTATTTATTTATTTGACAGAGATCACAAGCAGGCAGAGAGGCAGGTAGAGAGAGAAGGAGGGGAAGCAGGCTCCCCGCCGAACAGAGAGCCCCATGTGGGGCCCAATCCCAGCATCGTGGGGATCATGACCCGAGCCAAAGGCAGAGGCCCCAACCCACGAGCCACCCAGGTGCCTCCCATTTTAACTTTTTATTTTGAGATCATGTATATATTTATATCCCATTATAAGAAATAATAGACTCCCATATACTCTTCATCTAGTTTTTCCAAATGGAAAATTTCCAAACATCTTGCAAAACTGTTATACAGTATCACCAATTGACATGGATACAGTCCATCAACCTTATTCATATTTCCACAGTTGTATATTCACTTGCTATGTGCAGGGCATGCATTTAGTTACACTCAACTTCGTCACGTTTGTAGATCAATGTGACTACCACCACAGTCAGATACAGGATCCCTTGTCCTACCCTTTTATAGTCACAGCTGCTTCCCTGCTCCCCAAATTCCTAATCTCTAATTTGCTATCCATCTTTATAATTTTGTCCAAGAGTGGTACTTAAATGGAATCAGATACTATGTAACATTTGCAGGTTGGCTTCTCGGAATATCTTTTTTGAGATCCATCCAAATTGTGGCATGTATCAATAGTTCATTCCTTTTTATTGCTGAGTAGTCATCCGTGGTGCAGATGGACCAGTTTGTTTAAGCACTTACTGTTGAAGGCTATGAGATTTGAGTTGTTTCCATTTTTGGCTATTAGAAATAACACTGAGCATTTTTTTGTTTTGCAGGCTTTTATGTGAACGTAAGTTTTTCTTTCTCTGAGATAAATGCCCGAGCGACCATTTGCTCCATCACCATTTGTTGAAAAGTCTATCCTACCAGTGAACTGTTGTCCCATCTTTGAAAAAAACCATTTAGGCATATTTGTGTGGGTCCGAGTTCCTTAGCTGTTCCACTGATCTTGGTATCTGTTCTTCCACCAATACTGTGGTGACCACTGTCCCTATTTAATAAGCTTTTTTTTAAATTAAAGATTTTATTTATTTGTTTGACAGAGAGAGAGGGAGAGAACAAGTAGCTAGAGTGACAGACAGAAGCAGGCTTCCTGCGGAGCAGGGAGCCTGATGTGGGACTTGATCCCAGGACTCTGGGATTATGACCTGAGCGGAAAATAGACCCTTAACCGACTGAGCCAGCCAGGTGTCGTCCTATTTAAATAAGCTTTAACTGATGGAGTGGTTTCTCCCACTTTCTTCTTCTGTTTTGAAATAGTTTTAACTATTCCAAGTCTTAGTGGTTTTCCATATACATTTTAGAATAAAGTGGTTTGTGTCTGCAAAACACTGGGCTGTTTTAATAGGGATTGTGTTAAACCTATGACCACCTTGGGAGGACCCGGCATCTTTACTATTTGGGTCTTCAGATCTATGAACATGGTATGTTTCTCCACTTCTTTAGACCTTTTTTGATTTATTTCCCGAGCATTTTGTAATTCTCAGGATACAGATCCTGTACATGTTTTGTTGGATTTATCACTAAGTACTTAATTTTCTTTGAAGCAATTATAAATGTAACTGTGTTTTAAATTTTGGTTTCTATATATTTGTTTTCAGCAAACAGAAATGTGATTGGATTTTTTGTGTTGATTTTGTATTCTGCAACTTGGCTGAAATAACTTTTTCAGAGTTTGGTTATTTGTTTTGTGTTTTGTTTTCTTGTTGATCCTTAGGATTTTCTATGTACAGAATCACATCATCTGCAAATACGGACAGTTTTATTTCTTTCTCTTCAATATGTGTGCCTTTTCTTTTTCATAAAGCTATGTTAAATACAAATGGTTAGTGTGATATGCTTTCCTTATTCCTAGTTGTAGGGGGAAAGCATTCGTTCTTTTACCATTAAGTATGGTGTTAGCTGTAAGTTTTTGTAGGTGCTTTTTATCAAATAAAGAAGTTTCACTCTAGTATTAGTTTGCTGGGAAGTTATATCATTTATGGGTGTTGGATTTTGTCAAATGTTTCTCCATCAGTTGGTATAGTCATACTTTTTTGTTTGTTTTGTTTTTGCTTCGTCTGTTGATAATATTGGGTTATACTGATTTTCAAATGCTGAATCAATCTTGCATACATGTAATAAAATTGCATTTGGTCATGGTGTATAATTTTTTAAAACACTGCCAGATTTGATTTTCTAATATTTTGTTGAAGATTTTTGTATCTAATGGCCTAGAATTCTCTAGTAAAGTCATCTGTGGCTAGAGAATTCATTTTCAGCTTTTAAATTAACAATTCAATTTCTTTAATGGTTATAGGATTATTCAGGTTTTCTATTTCATCTTGATTGAGTTTTAATAGTTTCTGGGTTTGAGGAATTGATCCATCTGCTCCAGTGTGTCAGTATTTATGGACTAAAGTTATTTGTATTTTTCCCTTATTATCTTTCTAATGGAAGTGGATCTACACTGGTATCTGTTTCATTCTTGGTATTGGTGATCTGTGTCTTACTTTTATCAATCTTGCCTGAAGCTTGTCAATTGTAGAGATTTTTTTTGAAGAAATAGTTTTTTTGTTTTGTTTTTTCTTTCTATTTTTCTGTTTTCAGTTTTATTAATTTCATCCTTCAACTTGCTATGGATTTATCTTTCATTTTTCTAGTTTTTTGAGGTGGGAGCAGATTTCAAACTGTTCCTCTTTTTTGATGTAAGGATTTAGGGGTGTAACTTCTCCCTCAGTTCTTTAGCTGCATCCACATATTTTGAGCTTTTGCATTTTCATTGAGTGTGTTTGTGTGAGTGTGTTTCATTGTGTGTTTTTATATTTCCTGTGAGAATTCCTCTTTACCCATGGGTTATTCAGAAATGTGTTAATTTCCAAGTTATTGGAAGTTTTCTGGTCATTTTTCTGTTAGTGATTTTTTTAGGTTGAAGTTAGAAAAAAAATCTGCATTATTTAAGTTAAAATATGTATTAATCCTTTTACATTTTTTGAAGTTAGTTTTATGGCCTATGACATAGTCTCTGTTGGTACATGTTCTATGGGCTCTTAAAAAAACGTTTATTCTGCTCTTGTTGGATAGAATGTTCTGTATACAATTAGATCCTGTTGGATGATTGCGTTGGTCAGTTTTTTATCTTTACTGATTTTCTATCTAGCAATCAGTTTCTGAAACTGAAGTGTTGTAACCCCCAAGTGTAATTGTAGATTTATCTTCTTCTTCTTTCAGTTT